GTGCGGACTCTAATCTGGGAGAACCGGGTTTGATTCCCCACTCGCACCTGCTGATGTGACCTTGGGTCAGTCACAAGCTCTGGCACAGCTGTCCTTGAAAAAGAGCAGTTTGTGTCAGAGCTCTCTCAGCCCCACCCACCTCACAGGGTGTCTGTTGTGGGGAGGGGAAGGGAAAGGAGTTTGTAAGCCTCAAGTGAAGGGCGGGGTATAAACTCTTCCTCTTCCTCCTCCTCTTCCTCCTCCTCCTCCTCCTCCTCCTCCTCTTCTTCTTCTTCTTCTTCTTCTTCTTTTTCTTCTTCTTCTTCTTCTTCTCTGCATTGAGCTGATGCTTAGCCAAAAGCATTCCCTCCTTCTGAATCCTGCGAGCCTGACGGTTAGTGTCCTCAGAGAGGGTTGTAATAAATTCAGACATCTCCTCCCAAAGAGCAAACTGATATCTCCCCATACATACTGTATAGTTTGAGGTCTTGATGCCAAGAGCTCCCGCAGAATAAAATTTCCTTCCAAACAAATCAAGTTTCCTTCCTTCTTTCTCAGAGGGGGTGGAATGACTGCGTCTGCCCTTGGAGGAAGAAGTGACTATGATAGAATTAGGTTTAGGGTGGGTAAACAGAAATTCAGCACCCTGCTCCTGCACTTTATACATATGATCTACCCTCTGGCTCGAGACAGGTGTAGATACCAGGTGAGACCATGGGACTTTAGCCACCTGAAGGAGGGTCGAAGTCATTGGTAAGGCAATCGGTGTAGAAGTGTCCATCTGGACAATATCGAACACGGAGTCTGTCACAGTAGGTGGGGCTGTACCGTAGACAGAGTGAGCATGTTAGCCATCTGCTTGATGAAATCTCCATAGGATTTCAAGTCTTCCAAAGGGGAGATTAGAAGATCATCACCCACTTGTTGAGGCGGCGAAGGTTCCACCGGAGGATCAGGGTTTTCATCCCCTGATTGGGATGAGGCGTCTGAAGAGGCGGAGTGCTCAGACGGATCGGAAAATGACATAGGTAGCATTGGTATTGATGGAATCCGGTTCGATGGCTCTTTAAACTATGGAACTGTCAGGTGCGACGGCTTGGGAGGTTTGCCCATTGGTCTCAACAGATGGGGCCTCACAAACTCCGGCATCGAAGGAGGATCTCGATACCAGGAGATGCGTGAAGAGGTGGACTGACGGTCCCACTCCACTGGTTGGGGTGGGAACCATGGCATACTGCCTGTAAATGGATAGACCCCATACATGTATTGCCACTGCCACTGGTCCCAGGAGGGCGGTGGTGGCGGATGGATCGGTGCCGATGGTCGGTCTCGATCATCAGGACAGAGTTGTGAAGGAGGGACAAACGCATCGGCTCCGCGGTCTGAGTGCAGACTTTCGACACTGGAAGACTGGGAGATCTGTGTCAAGTCCATATCGTACTCAGAGTCTGTGAGCTGGATAGGATGCAGCAAAGGTGACCAAGGTACACCTTGTGGCTGCTGTCGGCACTGAGAGACAAGTGAAGCAGCCCCCAAAAGTTTAGATTACATGGCCCTCTGAGGGGGTCAGTGGAGATTGCACAAGGGGAGTTTTCTTATGCTTTTTAAGCTTGACTGGCCGATCATCCTTGCCTTTCCTGCATTTTCTGGAGGGAGTATGGGCTAAGGCAGTGATGGCGAACCTTTTAGAGACCAAGTGCCCAAACTGCGACCCAAAACCCACTTATTTATCGCAAAGTGCCAACACGACAATTTAACCTGAATTACTGAGGTTTTACTTTAGAAAAAACAACTCATACATTAACTTAAGATGATCCAAACAAAGTAAGGAAAGCAATCCCAAATGCTTTCATTTACTTAAAATTATTTGGCAGAGACTTCGACACTTTAATGATGGTCTGGGCCTGGCTGGGGCGATGGCACGCGTGCCTACAGAGAGGGCTCTGAGTGCCACCTCTGGCACCCGTGCCATAGGTTCACCACCACTGGGCTAAGGACTGAGATGTTTCAGCATCGGGCAGTCGACATCTACGGGAGTCGATATTGGGGACAGCACAGCCGTCGATGCCGAGGCAACAGTCGACACTGACGCATGTCATGAAGTGTCCTGTGATGACATCGGTGAAAGCGCTAACTCCAGAAGTGCAATGCGAAGTCTAGCAGCTCTGTTCTTCCTTGTCTGCTTCAAAAACTTAGTGCAATGAGCACAAGAGTTCACTCGGTGCGATTCCCCGAGGCACAAAAGACAAAGCGAGTGTCCGTCTCGGGGGGCCATCTTGCTGCTGCACTTAAGGCACCGTTTAAAGAAACCCCACCTCTTGGCCATAGGCCAGGAGACGGGTGGGAACACACGACAGAGTCCAAAAGGAAATAAATCTGTAGAAACAAAGTCCTTTCACTTAGTAAAAATAAACAAGAAGAAAACGAAGAAACTTTGAAGAAAAAACAAGGAATAGGCCTAAAAGCCCAAATTTCAACCCACTGGTTCTGGTCCAACTTTTTGGGGCAATAGAAAACAACTCCGTACCATCCTCTATATGACAGCCCTTCAAGTACTTGAAGATGGTTATAATATCACCTCTCAGTCGTCTCCTCTCCAGGCTAAACATACCCAGCTCCTTCAACCAACCTCTCCTCATAGGTCTCCAGACCCCTCACCATCTTAGTTGCTCTCCTCTGGACACAATCTAGCTTGTCTATATCCTTCTTAAATTGTGGTGCCCAAAACTGAACATAATACTCTAGGTGATGTCTAACCAGAGCACAGTAAAGTGGTACCACTACTTCATGTGATGTGGGCACTATATTTCTGTTGATATGGCCCAAAATTGCATTTGCCTTTTTAGCAACCACTAGAAATTACATCCACGAGTTCAATCTCAAAAACAACAGAATGATCCCGGTTCAAATCCAAGGCAAACCATGCAACATCACAGTAATCCAAGTCTATGCCCCAACCAGGCAAAGGCTAACAGAGTTTTTTCAAGAAAACACACTGATCATAGCGAACACCCTCTTCCAACAGCCTAAGAGGTGACGCTACACATGGACATCACCAGATGGACAACATCGAAATCAGATTGATTATATCATTTGCAGTCAAAGAAGCTCAATACAGTCAGTAAAAACAAAACCTGGAGCTGACTGTGGCTCAGATCATGAGCTACTCAACTGCAAAATTCAGGCTTAAACTGAAGAAAGTTGGGGAAACCACGAGGCCATTCAGGTTTGTCCTTGATCACAAATGAATATACAGTGGAGATGAAGAATAGGTTTAAGGGACTAGATTTGATAGACAGAGTGCCTGAAGAACTATAGACGGAGGTTCATGACATTGTACAGGAGGCAGTAATCATCCCAAAGAAACAGAAATGCAAGAAAGTAAACTGGCTGTCTGATGAGGCTTTACAAATAGCAGAGAAAAGAAGGAAAGCAAAAGGCGAAGGTGAAAAGGAAAGATTTACCCAACTGAATGCAGATTTCCAGAGAACAGCAAGGAAAGATAAAGAGGCCTTCCTGAATGAAGAATTGCAAAGTAATAGAGAAAAACAAAAGAATGGGAAGTACTAGAGAAATCAAGGGAACATTCCATGCAAAGCTGGCCATGATAAATGGTAGGGACCTAACAGAAGCAGAAGAGATTAGGAAAAGATGGCAAGAATACACAGAAGAACTATACAAGAAGGTTCTAAATGTCCTTGACAACCATGACGGTGTGATCACTGACCTCGAGCCAGACATCCTGGAGTGCGAAGTCAAATGGGCCTTAGAAAGCATTACTAACAACAAAACTAGTGAAGGTGATGGTACCCCAGCTGAGCTATTCAAAGTCTTAAAAGATGATGCTGTTAAAGTGCTGCACTCCATATGCCAGCAAATTTGGAAAATGCAACAGCGGCCACAGGATTGGAAAAGATCAGTTTACATTCCAATCCCAAAGAAGGGCAATGCCAAGGAATGTTCAAACTATCGCATAATTGCACTCATTTCACATGCTAGCAAGGTCATGCTCAAGATCCTACAAGCTAGAAGTACAGACCACCTCACATGTCTCCTGAGAAACCTGTATACAGGTCAAGAAGCGACAATTAGAACCGGATAAGGAACAACTGATTGGTTTAGCATAGGAAAAGGAATACCACAAGGATGTATATTGTCACCCTTATGTAGAGTACATCATGTGAAATGCTGGCCTCCTCCATTTTATCCTCACAACCAACTTTTGAGGCATGTTAGGATGAGAGTATGTGATTGCCCCAAGGTCACCCAGCAACTTTCCATGGCAGAAAGGGGATTTTGAGATTAAAAATAAGGCCAAGGCCGATAGTGCAAAATCAGGTAAAAATATGTTTTATTACTCAGTTAAAATTCCCCAAAAAATTCCCTGGGTCTCCTAGATCCTATTCTGACGCTCTAACCACTATATCATATTGGCTACATACCTTTTTGATCCAAAGATGTTTACATGATTTATCTAATCGACTAAGAGCCCCAGTTAAAATCTGGTTCTTGGGTGAAATGAGCTTTAAGAGACTTCCACTACCCATCTATGTTGGAAGCAAAATTATTACCACTTAATGAAAAAAGGTGAATGCCAAAATCCTAGGGAAAACAGCCACCTCTAAGGTTTTAATTAGCACTGAGACTTTAGGATGTGATGTAAGCATTATATGTAATTGGTGCGTGTGCGCGCGGATGTGTTTTTGGCTTTGTAATCTGAGCAGCCCTAGATAATGGCCTGAGTTAAAAGCCTGAATGGATAAATAAATTAAAACAGTTTCAGCAAGCAACCACCAGTTGCTCCCCAGGAATCAGAGCAGCAGATGGGGAGTTATGTTTCCATCTTCCACAGTAGCTACTCAAAACACACAGAGCCAAACCCTGGTGGGAAGTGTGAACTTATTTGAGTGGATGAAATCTGCTCCCATCTGCTTGTGCAGAATGAGAGCGTTGGAAGGACAAAACAACAACACCCCCTCCCCACACACCCGGAAGGAACAAAGCTGCAAAACCATACATACCTCTGGACTAAACCTTCGCATGGTGACCCCTTCCTTTTTTGGGAATCCGGGTTAGCTGGGTCCGTCGGGTTGTTCCCAAGGCCACTCATGTTGAGTCAGTTCACACCTGAAGAACAGCAAGAAGACGAAAAAAGGGTAAAGAACATAAGAGCATGAAGGGGACAGGAACCAGATAACAGGCAATTTGCCCCCCAGCAGGTTCAGGAAGCGTGACTCAAGTCACCCCACCAACGGGGAAGGAGGAGGCCACTGTCCAGCAATGTCATTTCTCTTTCAACAGCAACTTTGGCTCAAAATGTCTGTCACTCGTATTTATTCTCTCAGCTTCGCAGAACTTCCAGGGAGAAAAGAAAGGCAGCCAGGACCCGACCCCTATACATACAAGCTGCTGCCCTTTCTGTGGCTGCAGCACTTAGCGCACAGAGCAGTCGGGCTCATTTCTCCCAAGGTCTTAAACACAGCAGCATGGCTTGGAAGAGATACTTTCTTTAACACTATGTAAAAAACGGGAAAAGGTTCATCTGCCCCACAACAGGCCATTGCATTAAGAGTGCAGTGCAGCACTTTGCAGAAAACGGTAGCGAAGATGTATGCTGCCATAAGGTTCTTGCAGAGAAAATAGTTCTAGATTGTGCAATCAAGCCATGCCCCCCCACCCCATAATCAGTCAGATCCTGAGCAAAAACCATTCACTACATAGCCCTAAAGGAACTTTTCGTTAGCCTGGATTCCAACACTGGCTCCTGTCCTTGTCTTAAGTTGCAACCGTACAAAAATTCTCAGACTAACCTTTTCAAAAGCTGGTGCCTTGAACAAACAGGAAGACAATAAGGCCACACCAGCAGGTAGGAGGAAAAAGGTACAGCAGCGTATTCGACCTTTGAGATCCCAACGTGTTTCCCTAAAAGCTTTCTCGGGGGATCTTAAGCAGAAACTTCTCTGTCTCCCACATTGGGTAGAACCGTTATACTGAGCTTTACCCAACCTATCCATTTGTCCAAGGTGGGAGCTGGAGAAGCGTCTGCTTAAGATCCCCTGACAAGGCCTTCAACAAACGACACTGTTGTAAAAAGGAAAAAACACGGGGTAAAAAGACTAAACAGAAATAATACTAATTAATACTCTTATCAATTTCAATTCTCACAGAGAGATCCTGCCAGCACCTTGCCAGCAGGACATTTGTGCGGGTGTGAATACATCCCTAGCAACTGACCCTACAGAGACTAAGACTGCAATTCTGAGTATGTTTAACACGCAAGAAATCCCAGTGCCTTCAATGGAAACCACCGCCAATTAAGTGAGGTCAGGATCACAGTCTGCGCTCATTACTAATGGCAGACGGAAACCACTCCTTTAACTCAAAGACAACTTTTGCTGCATTCAAGGCTCCAGGCTTGCAGCTTTGAAATGTAACATTCCACATCACCCAGTCGTTCTGCAACGATTCCTTATGCAGCATCCCATCATATTTTTTGCCAGTGCTTATGTCACTTGGAAACATTGTTCAGAGTCACTTGAAAGCATTTGTTCGGAGCCAGAGATCTTCCTAGCAGTAGTATCATTGCAAATCGATACCCCTCCCTTTTGCGCCAGTGGCAGTGGAAACCACAGTCAGCTGTCCTAATTTACAAGGGACAATGTAATGAAGAACAAGAGAACCATTGGTCAGGAACCAGCAGCCCAGTGGGATGACTGCAAATCTAATTTTATTCTCTCATTTGGCATATTTGAAGTTGAAAACGATGCCAAAACAAATGCAGCTTGGGGGGGGGGGGGGAATTCTGGCTCTTTAGAAATCCGGGACTGCAAAACTCATCTGCTCTGGGTACAAGAGCTGCACGTTTATTTTAGACTCAACTTTCCCTTGCTGCTCACCCATTTCCTTCAAAACTTTCCACTGTGCATAACCCACTGCTTGTTTATATCCTTGGCTCCTCTTCAAGAAAATTTAAATTCACACCAGAAATTATTACACCAAGATGAAAACTCTTGGCTGTGCTCATAAAGGCCACAAAACCATCCAGACAAGACTTGAAACACTGTTAATGAACGCAAGGTCGCTTTGTTCAAAAGGAGTGGTTTTTCAGGATCAGGACCACAAAATAAGTGTCGTTCCCCCCCCCCATCTAATTCTGAGAGAAGATAAGACTCACCTTGACACTACTGCCTGTAAGTACAATAAAATAGGGAAGCTATGAACAGAACTGCAGGCTTAGCTGAAATCTTTGGCTCCATTCAGACCCTTGATGTAATACATTCAGGGCTGCTGCTTTTTTTAAAAAAAAAAAAATTGTAAATCCAGTTTATTTTGCAACAGCCCTTGCCAATGCTGTCAAGCCAAAAACAATTTAAACTATCCTAAAAATAACTCTGATGGCTCACTGGAAAATTATTTGACCCAGAGATCTCAAAAGGAGGCCTCTGAATCTGAAGGTGATGATTATTCAATCTTGATGGTGTGGCATCGGGGCAGGGGAGGCATCAGGGGGGTGTTCATGGTTTTGCAGACAGACGATCCAAGTGCTTCCCTTGCTCCACATGCCCTGCTCTTAGGAGACGGGGTTGTAACTGACAAGACATCCAGTTCCTAAGAACAACAGGGATTCTTTTTAAGGGGGAAAGAAAGAAGGAAACTAAAACAGTTTATTACTTGCTAACTTGAATCCCAGTATGAGTAGACGCAGTGTTTATGGCACATGCAACTGGAAGGCCTGGGATCAGCCATAGATTTATTGGGCAGCCTCAGGCAAGTCTTGCTCTGTCTTAGCTCCTTAGGAGCAAAGAATGAAAGAGAGCTAACCTCACAGGAATACACTGGGTCATGTTCTAGCACAACCAGTGAGAAATACATAGAAATGGGCAAAGGATAGACCAGGTGGGGTGAGGGACAGGGGTGTTGTACAGCACCTTGTCGTGCAGTCTGCGTCACCGGGTCAGCTTTCAGCTAAACATCCAAATTGCACCCTGCTAAGATCCCACTGCAGTAAACCTCACTCACACAGTTCTTGTGGTTAACTATGTACAGTGATTTATTTCCAATATATACAGCTCTCTCCGTCAAAGTGCTGCGCAATACGCTCATACAAATAGAAGGAATACAATGTGCAGGCTACATACACTTATATACACTTGACCAGCCAATCAGCTTACTGCTCAGTCACAGTGAGATAGCTCAGCTTAGCTCCAGTCAGAACCGGTTTGCTCTGGTTCTTCAGACTTGTCAGACACCTGTCAATTAGATTGGCATGATCACACACGCTGAAGACTTATACCTGTCAACACACCTACCCACCATCTGATTAGGGGTATATGGAGGATGTGAACGAGAAACCCTTTCCTCAGCAGATTTTTCCTTCCATGCTGGGCTCCCAAATCCTGCATATGGGCTGAATATGGAGGAAATGGCTAGGTTGCTCTAGTCAAAGAAAGCTCTCCTATTGTCACTGTGCTCTGATCTGCCTTACATTCAAAAAAAGCTGATCAAGGAAGGAATGACTGGTAGATACGAGCGAGAAGGAAAACTTGTCCTGGCTCCAGTTTGGATTTTGTCCCTCTGTCTTCCCTCCTTTGTCTTGGCCCACTGTGGCCACTATAGTTTGAAGAGTACTTGTCTTTGCAATGGACAAACAACCCAACTGTTTCTGTCTTGAGGAGACAAGGAGTTATGGAGAGCCCCACAACTGTCAGCGGGGACCCTTGGCACTACTTCTCCTGGGATGCTTGAAACTACTGTAGAAGTCTGGCCAAGCATTACTGGAGGTAAAGTGGAAATAAGGAGGGATAATATCCTTAGTTCCAGGAGTGGATCATGGGGACATTGTTAGCTCAAACAGTTATTCTTGCATCTATAGGTAGTGAAATGTCAAATAAGGGAGCTGTTCCCAAAATAACGTCAAAAGCTGGAAAAGTTCCTACTTGGGCAGTTGTGATTTATTGTTCTGCTTGCCATCATCCAAATGGCTTCCATCTGTGCAAATGCAGGAAGAGTCTCAATTAAAAGTAATTAACAGCACACTTAGCAAGCCAAGAGGACACATCTATAGAACTCCCCTCCCAAGCACTTCATTGTTCACAGACCGAAGCGCCTGGGATGGAAATCTCGATTTCTCAACTTCTGCAGGTTACCGAGAACTGAAACCACCTGTTGGTGTAGTAAGGCAAGAGGCAATATACAATCCATTAAGTAAACAGCTCCAGTGAGCCAGAGAAGGCAGAGCTCTGACTTGGGTTTGTAAGTGGAACTTTCTGTTTTTGACCTCCCATTAACTGGAAAGCATCAACAGTCCATGTGAAATGAGCCACATCAGTTACCAGCCAAAGAAAACAAGTGTGAGGCTGCCTAAGGGTGGAGTGGGGAAAGGGCGAGAATCCAGATCCATCTGTCACTGGATGAGCAAAGGACACCTGCTTCCAAGCCAAACCCTGCTCCTGTTTTCATCTCACCTGTTTCATGCAACCTATTCCAGCAGCCAGCGAATGCAGGTTTCCCTCTGCATAACAGGACACTGATCCTTGACTGGCAGTTCCCAAGCTGCTGCCTTGGTATGGTACGATCATTAACAGTAGCTTCCTGATTAGAATCAAAAGCAGGTTCCCATAATCCTCTAAACCAACACTGCTGTTATCTTCCCCCAGGCTGAGCATTATAGAGATGCTGACAGATGGAGCTACTGGCACTGTTCTATTGTACAACACCTAGGAAAAAAATAATCTAGTGTATGTATGCGATGGCATTGTTCAAAGGGTCTCTTCTCAGGGTTCAGAGCAGCACTAATCAAGAACCAAACACAATCCTATGGTTCTGCTTTTAAGTAGCACCTACGCTGTGTATCTTTCCACACTTCAGAACAGCAAGTCCCCAACGTGCCACCCTAGGGCACCTGGAATTACGTTTCCTTGCTGACTCATTTCCTGACTCCTTCCCCACTCTCTCCTCAGCTCTTTTCAAGTGTCCTGCTGCCTTTTGTCCTGCACACTCTTTCTACTCTTTACTGTCACTTTTCACTCTCTTCCCTTTCCCCTTTTCTGCCCCTCTTCCTGGAGCCTTTCTATCCTTTACCTTACTGGACTTCTCCAGCTGGTTTTGAGGGTGCTAAAGGCAATGGA